GTTGTTGTCCTAATGATGAAGCCATCGATTGTTGTTGTTGCTGTTGTTGTTGTTGTTGTTTATTTGACATTAATCCAGTACGATTATGATATTGTCCTTGACCAACAGTTGTTGGTCGCCCAAAAAACATTCGATCATCATTTATTATTTGTTGTTGTGAAGGTTTACGAATTGTTGCTCCTCCACTTGATGTTATTGTTGATTTAACAGCTGTACCTGGTCGGCTACTAACAACAGATGTACCACCATATGTATTAGCTGTACGAGTTTGACGTGATCCTAATGTACCCATATGAATATTTGATTTAGTTTCAATAGGTTGTTGAATAAATTTTTCTTCAATACCAATCGGTACAATATCAGCAGGTGGTTGTTGAATAAGTGATGTTAATTCTTGAAGAAGAGTTTCAGCTGATGTTTGAGATTGAGGATCTTGAGATGATGGTAGAACAGTAATAGTAGACGGTACTGTTGATGTTTCTGAAGGAGCAGGTACAGTTAATAATTCAATTGTTTGACCAATACCGGGTAAATCTATAAATCGAAAAGGAAAAAGATCATTCTTGAACTTAACGCTTTCGATCTGCTTTATTCAAATATGAAATCAAGTTTCCTCGACACTATTGCTAAGCTAATTAGTTTAGCTTATATTCTAATACTCGAATGCATATAGTTACATGGACTTATCTTTTCTCAACAATTTAAAATGGTCTAGAGCAAGCGAACAACATTACTAAACAGATGACCTTGTGATGTCAATCGGAGCTACATAAGAAAGACAACTCAGAACACGATGTTTTGAATGATATTTAAAGATTCTTGTACTCAATAATGAATTTAAAAATTCATTTTTTAGATATATTCATATATAAATGAGGATAACTAAATTTACATAATAAATTTCCTTATTGTTTAAATTAAGTACATCGACATCTGATTAGCTAATAATTGGTAAATCAGGGGTGTTCTCGGCAAAAGTTTTAAAAACGGTATTCTGAAGTCATTTCTCAATAGATCTTGACAGGTAATATGACCAGTAGGTAGAGAAAATTCTTCACTGTCGATCTGTGTAAACCTAAACTTCGTAGTGGCTTCCGTTCAAGTTTTAGAAAATTTTTCCTGAGATCCTACCCGATTGCAGCACATTGACCTTGGACGACTACAGACATAGGTAGTTCATCAAGTTGAGCCGAAACTTGTTGTTTGTTTTCACTTATAAAGGGATCTTAGGTCACGATTTAAGCATTTTCAAAACTTGTTTTTTTTAACTGCTCAAGGAAAATTTTTCGTAAAGTTCAAAAATACGGAAATAACGGTCTCAAATCGCTTTGAAACTGAAAACAAATGTCATTATTCGGATCAGTGTGACCAAATTACTAGTCAACATTTAATGGCAAATGACTTGAGAATCTCATTTTCGAAATCTTTGCTAAGAACTCACTTGATGGGCCAATAGCTTTCGACCTACTTCTTTCTTGAATATTGAAAACTTAAGCTTTCTTCATCGTTCCTATGAATATTCATTCAAATAAATAAACCATCAGCATTCTACTGTAAAATGGATGATAGTTCTTAAGATCTTCAGATATTAAAACTGACTAAAATTCTTATCAAAAAGCTCAACTGATGCAATACTTAATTATAAAATCTTGTTTTTTTTAACACTTACATGCTTTGCCTGTCTTATTAAGTTCTTCAAGAAAAGCATGTACTTGTGGTTCTGTCATTGAACTAAGTACCGCTTGAAGTGTTGCATCATCGACAACATTCATTTGTTGTTCTTTACTTGATGTATCCATCATTGTTGAAGTCGACGGATCAATATTCTGTTCTGTAACAACTAAATAAATTAATTATTAACATGAAAAAAGAATCAAGAAGCAATTCTTACCTCTGCTATCATCTTGGTTAATAACATTAGTTGTACTATTTTGTGATAATTCTTCGGCCATATCTTTATTAAATATATAAAACAAACAGAAGAAAATTTTCTTAACAAATTATTTTTCCTACAGATGAAAAAAAAACATATAACAACAGAAAATCATGAATATCATTAAATTTTCTTTTTTTTCCCCATGGATATTCAAAAATAGAAAAACAAACATAACTAATAGAATGAAACAGCATGTAATATAGTTCGTTTTGTTTTTAGTTCAAATTCTGTAAGTATTTCATCAATTGTATTATCTAAATCAATAGCTGCTTCCATCTATAAATCAAAAGAAGAAAAAAAAGATAAAAGCTACGTTTCTATTATTCTTTTACTTTTTGTCCTAATTCACATAACATAAATGCTCCAAGTGTAGCATCTTCTGGATTGTCAATAACATCAATATTAATAACATGAACTATTTCATTTGTACGTTTATCACGATTTTCTAAATCTATGACAGACCACAAAAAAGAAGCAGAATTCCTTTTGTCTTTTTGGTTATTTTTTTTTATTACCTTCCATAACTTGATCAAATATTCGTTCTTCAACAGTGAATATAACATCGAAACGTTCTCGACTATCTTGAAAACGTTCAGGTTTTTCTTTTATACGACGATTACGATCAAGCATATGAAGAACACCATTTTGTGTATATCTTGAATTTATTATAAAGTTTTTTTTTTTGTACAAAAAAAAAAGATGATACTTACAAATTGGCATCTTTATTGTATAAATCTTTGTACATAAATTCATATGGCGTATCAAATGTATATACATTGGGTTTATCAAGTGATGCTCCAGGTAATTTAACTTGTTGACCTGAACCATATGATTTAACTAATAGACCACGTTTACTAAAACAATATTATTTAAAAAAAAAAAGCTTTGTTTTATTTTATTGACAAGAGTATATCTTCAGGTATCAAATCACTTTTTGACTAAGACTATGTTCATTTGATGAGTAATATACAAGTTTAGAATGATTTAATTTTTTTAGATCTTCGTTCTTGAGATATTGAAGTTTGACAGAGTTTTCAACAAAAAACTGTGATCGTCTGAAGTCATATGAAAGTTTCGACTTCAAACATTGGACGAACTGAGTTCTCGCTGAGATTAATTTATCAGGCAAGTTCTAACTTTTCTAATATTTCCTATCTCAAGATATGAAATATTCGAAATTCTCTAATGTGTAAAAGCAAATTTCGTTCATAGATATATATCTTTAGAAAGGACAATACCTAGCTTTTTGTTGAAAAAGCCCGTAAAATTTCGATATCTCTAGAACGAAGACTCGAAAAATCAAACCGTTCGTGACTTTTTTTATTACCCATCAAATATACATCGTTTAGGTCGAAAACTGGTTTTGCATCTGGAGAGATTCTCTTGTTAGATCTACCACTAAATAACGTGTGATGTAAACGTTCATCAAAGAAATGATCAACAAGAAATAAAAAGTATCCTCAAAACGAATTCGTACTTTTTAGATAACTCCAAATAACAAGACAAAATATCAAAGCTTATTTACCTTAAGTAAATACATTTTGAAACAATTACTTTTTTTTATCAATTCATAGACAATTATTCTCTCTTCTGTATGGTAAATGACTTGATTGTGCTATACATACATATACAAAATGACACGAGAAGAAAAAGAAACACTTGCTCAACAAATCTGTGATTTTATGTAGATTCATCAAATAAACCTTGCAAATCAATTGATATATAATCTTAATCTAACTGCAAGTATATCAAAGGCTACTACATCATCATCTAGGTGAGTAGAATAATAATATTGGTTTGATATGAAGTTCACCAGGCTGTTCTATCGCTTTTTTAAAGCCTTAGTATCCATTTTTAAAGCATTTTGACATTTCCTGTTAAAACCGATGTTCTTTGTCGTAAGTTACCACTGATGATTGGTCTGTTAACATTGTCACGCTTAGCTAATTTATTCTGACGGGTGCCATAATAATTAATTAACAAATATTACCACTATAGTCTTTTTTATTAGAAAGACTATTGCAAGAGCACTTCTTGATAAAAATTTGATATGTCCATACTTCAAATATATATTCAACAGGTTATGAATTGTTGTTCTTGGAATGACATGTTTTATACAATAATTAATTGCCACTTTAGAAGACTTATTTCGGTTAATCAATATTAAAATTGCAGATTCGTTAAGCGAGTATTTCTCTTTCTTGTCGTATTCATTTTGTTTATGAATGTATAACATAATCAAATCATATACAATATGGAAGAAGAAAAACTTTCCTATCAACTGATAAAAAAAAAAACATTTCTTCCTACACGTATGTACCAAAAGTAAATTGGGGGCCGACATTTGTGCCATTACTTGTACATAAAAAAGTGTAAGTTATCGAAATGTGTCTTTCAACAAATAGCGTCAATGAGAACATTTTAAAGGTATATTCTGAGTTTTAATCATGGATAGTAGGAGTAACACTTTCGTGTTTCATCTCTAAGAATTCATAATGCGTAAACCTCAACTCAAAAGATAAAAATATATACATGAATATCATGATGTATCTTAAACCAAACTAGAAAATCCAGTACGGAATGTGTTAGCATTCCTTGAGAATGCAACATTCAGCACAGAAAACTCTAACATTTCCAAAGGATGGCCGTACACTTTAAACTTCATATTTACATCTTAATTTTCACGAAATGTGTTTTTCGCTATCTCAATTAATATATAGCTAAAATAATTCAGGCGAATCAAAGTAGACAAATTTTAACTATTTTCACTCAAAGCTAATGGAAGGCTTATAGAACGTATATCAGACATTATATTTTCGATCGAAACATTCTATGTACGATTAGACATACACGTAGATTCCTGATGTATTGCATTACCTCATGAAATTATGTGCTTCCATACTACGATTTTGATTTGATGAACAAACAACAGCAAAACGAAGTGGCATTATCCAAATCTACAAATAAACGGTGGGGGCGAGTTTAAAAGTAAGATAATAAAACAGTGTACAGGCGGGAATACATATGTTTTTCAGGAATAAAAAGAAATAAAAAAAAAAGTTAATTAAGTCTTTTTTAAACCAATTACACCACAAGCCATACGACCACCAGCATTTCCGGTTTTCTTTGAGTCTGGTGTACCACCACGACCTAAATCATCTTCTTTTTCATGAACAACAATTGAACGTCCAATAATCGATGTTGGACCAGTTAATTTAATAACTGAATCTTTAAAATTAAATTTAGCAACATTGCCAGAACCACCAATGATATTGCCTAGAATTTCAAAAAAATTACTATTAAATAATACAACAGATACGTTAAATACCAAGATCGCCAACATGGCGAAGTTGATCTTGTGGACCAGCATGTTCATTATTGTCTGGATTATAATGAGCACCTAAATTAAAATTTTATAAAATTAATTAAATAGCTGTTTAGCATAATCGAAACTCTTGAAAAGTTCAACTTATTTCTATCAAGGCCATTTTTTTCATAATGTAAAGAACCTTACCGGATTTGACAACAGCTCTTACATCGAAAACTTTCAAAATCATTCTGTAAAACAACTCACGGCTTGTCCATTGCTATAAAGGAAATCGTATTTTAACCGAATTTTGACGTTATGACACTCCGTACACTGGTTGATGGATACTATAAAAAGTTATGACACATGGAGATAAGCATATTCACAACTCAAATTATGCAAACTTCTTTCTAAAAGTCATTTTGTATACAAATGCGAATAACAGTTACAAGAATGTCTATACTCACAGGTAATTTTCTGGAAATCTGCACGTTTGTGTCGCCATGGAATTATGCACATTGAAGCGTTCCAGTATCACAACTCTATAGAAATGACTTGCAGAAAGAACTTTACATTACTTGATTTACCGATATGCTAGCATTACAATCTCTATAATTGCCATAATTTTGTTTAGTATCCATCAGTCAGTTTAAGGTATCTCAAAACGTAATGGCTTGATTAAAATGCCATTTCATAGATACCGATGAGCACGTCAGAATCTGTTCTACAAAGGATGCAGAAGGTTTTTCAATTCAACTCTGATCGTCAAATTCAGCAGAATCTATGAATTCGAATTGTCTTATAATTTCCATGAATGAAAATATCTCAATACATTAATTTAAAACAACTACAACAATAAAATAGTCAATCAAGAATTTCATTCATTACCAGCTGAAGTACATCCATTTGTAGTATCACCAAATTCATGTATATGAAAACCACGTTTTTGTGCATTCGGTATATTTTTAATTTCACCATTAACAGTTACTGTACCATCATTTGCTTGAACAAAATCAACATGACCATAAACTTGTCCACTATTCGGATCAGAAAGTACAGCAACAGCTTGTATACCTGGTGGTTCTAAATGAGTTGCATGTTTGACTGTATCAGTCATTTTTTGTGTAATACCACCCATAATTTTATTTTTATATCTAAAAAAAACAATGAGAAAAACAAAACTGATATCCCAATGTATTTTAGAAAAAAAAACCAAACATAACAAAACAAAAAAAGCCCTGAAAAGATATTTTTGCTTTATTAATTAAGTACCAAAACGTTTTCGTTTTAATGCTGGTGGTAAACACTGTTCAACAATAGATGGTAATAATTCGACAACAAATAATGATGTTGATGATAAAAGTGTAACATGTAAAAGATATTTAAATTGTTTACAAACATGTATTGGTGAATTGCTTTGATTTGTATTATTAAATATTTTTGTATATGTTCCAGGCATTTTTTTACCACGTTCAATTATACTTAAATATGTTGAATCAATAACAAATAATTTATCTTTTGTATCATAGAATAAATTTATAATTGGACTTCGTTCAGAAAACCATTGTAATGGCATACGTACTAAATATTTTCGTGTCCAATCTGAATATTCATTTTGTTGAATATCATATTCAATTAATGAACGATTTGCATATGCACATGCAAGACGATCATTACAAAATGACATTGCTGTACATTGATATGTTTGTTGTGGTAATTGTGTTAAAATATTATATGTTGAATTTAAATAAATTGTTACATGTCCATGACGATCTGCTGTTGCTATATATTTAGATGAAACTTGAAAACGAAGTGTAGATGGTAAACATGATATAATATGATTAAGTTTATATGATGATAATGAAAAACAATATAATTGACTATGAGATGTTAAAGCAAATAATGATGATGAATTAAAACGTAAATGAATTATATTTATTATCGAAGAAAATGCTTGTTCAACATTTTGTTCATTAGAATATGTTTTTACTGGTGTTACACTCAATTGAGATTGAGGATCAAGACCTATAATAGAAAAAAAAAACTTCTCAGCAAGTTAAAGAAAGTATCTATTTTGTTTCTTTCTGGACTGCGAACAGGTTTCTTTTTATTAATGCTCTATTTTTTGTTGACTTTGCTATTATTTGCTACATTGACACCACTAGAAATACAACTATGACAGTTCATCATTCACTGGGAGAACGTACTGTCGGTGGCAGAGCCCATCAGACACCAGTCATCTGAGAAATATGTAGAGTACAGTGATCACCAAATACAAAAATCAGAAAAAAGTGTCTCGTATCTTCAAAGCGACTAGCATATTCCTTTTAGAATATTTCGTTGAGAGTATCGAAATACGGTTCGCAAATTTAAGACCTGATAGTCTTATGCACAACTGTGCATTGGTCTAAAATTGTACATATAGACTAACGCTGAACGCATAACATGTGCATATCTATACTAGTGCAGAGCTTTAGCTAAGACCGATGGATGACCGTACCCTTTGCATCTCTAGACTTAACTAGCAAATGAGTTTGTTGTAAATATCAATTATATTTACAATATCTCAATAAGCTTGGAAACACTAATACTGATTATCTTCCAAAATTATAGCTGTATCGGTTCACTCTTTTTATGTTAATGGCATAACCACCGTGGTAAATCAATGCGTCATTACCCATTATCCTTTACGTCAATTTTTATCGAAGATAAAAATCGAGAATTGCACTGTTAAGAATATTCAAATTTCGATGAAGGTCTAAGTCTTGTTGCCACTACTGTTTAGTGACTTTTCTCGTTGCTAAGGCATATTTGGAGAAAAGTCTAATGACTGTTATCAAAGCTACTCGGATAGGAGTGGCAAACCGCAAGACATTGATTGAGTTTTTTTTCCTTTAATCAAATTATATTACCTTGAATAACATAAACATGTAAACCAATCGTATCTCCCATAGCAATAATAATTTGTTCTTCGTCTTTTATTTTCTTTATTGTCATAGCAACAGTATCAATTCTAGCTTGATGTTTTGTTTTAATTTGAACAAGATTTTTCGGTGCACGTTCAAGTATATCTTCACCATTTTCATTTAGGCCACCTTCTTTTCCTATGGACCATAATTCAATATAATCTCGATATGTAAATAGAAAATAATTTCCTTTTTGATGAATTTTATTTTGATGTTGAGTAAAATTAAAACATTTTCGCCATAAAACAGGTGGTTTAGAATTATCACGAATTATATCATGAACAAGTAAACGTGCGTCAAGTCCACCTGATATTAACATTAATTTATTACTTAAATTATTTTCTTTTTTACGTATTGTTGCAAAACGTGATGGAATTAATGTTAATGAACGAACATCATGTGTATGAGAATGAATTGATATTGTTTTAATCCATTGTTTTGTTGAATCGTTTGTTGTTGTTGTAGTAGTTGTTGTTGATTTTGGTGATACAAGTTCAATACGAACAATAACTGAATCAACACCAGAACAAAATAATGTTTGTTCATCTGATGATAATGTCATACAAAGAACATCAGCACGATGAGTTTGAAATGATCTAAATGATGTTGAAAAGAAAATATATTGTTGACATAGATCGAAATCAAAAACAAAATTTCTTAAGGATCATAATTCAACTGTAAAAAGTAACCTATAAGAATGAAGTTTTTGAATCTTGAGTGGCCGATATAAGCTTGAGTTAGTTATATTTTCAAGTTTTCTCTTCGATGGTAATAGTTAGCAAGAATCTGAAAAACATTTACGTAGCTGGAAGAATTTTATATTAAGACTAATAAATTCGGAGACTTCAACAAAATTGTTTAGATGAGAATCTGCGAAAAACTAGCTTGTTGACTTCCATTCGAAGTTTTTGGAAAAATATTTTAGATGATAGAGCAAAATGATACGTCTCCAATTTTTCAATGACCATCCTTCATCGACTTCTATTCAAATTACAGAAGACTGCAGAAGTTTTTTTTCTCTTATTTGTATGAAAAATAGCAATACTTTTGCCATGTTTGGCGCTTTGGAGCCTATTGTGAACTGAGTGAAGGTCATGAAGAGGTCGAAGATGTATTATATCGTTCTATTTCTCAAGTATCGAATATAAAATTATAGAACATAGCTATCCTAAAATTTTGTTCACTAGCATAGTTTATAAATTTATTCGATAGCGAATTTATTTCTTTAGAAAAACTAATGACTTCGTTTTTCAAATAACATCTTGTTATCGATGTAGATTTGATGAAACTCCAAATATACTACAAAATCCTACATAACTTTTAATGCATTAGTCATCATTTTTTAAAACATCTCTTTCACATATATAAAATCTCTAACAAATAAGTTTAGAACTTGATTCAAGAACCATTATTCAACGATCTCAAAGATAGAACACAAAAGTCAGTTATTCATTTATGATAATCTAGGAAATTTTTCAATCATCTGAATGACTGTTTTTGAATTTGTTTTTTCTAACTTCAATCTTTCTCAAAGTACTCTCTATAATTCTATGAAAAACTATTCTATTAGGTTACGAATACTTCACACAAACATTAATTTTCATAACAAATTGTCAGTAAAATGTCTGTTTGGATTAAGACTATGAAACTTTTATTATCAATGAGAGACTTTTTAGTAAAACCTTATTATTTGTAGATGTCCGAATAAAAATAAAAGATAATCGTAATGTATGATACAGCTTATGAAGAGTAAAGTAATGTTTTCTCAACTCTACTGTTTGTGAAAGAAAATAATGTTACTTCACTTATCGATGACTATCATATTTTTTTTCAACTATTATTAAATTATCAAGTAATATAAAACGAAATAACAGCATACCGAATTAAAGTACCATAAACAGCATCCCAAACGCATGTTCGACCTGATGAATCTCCACTAAAAACTGTATAATCATCAGTTACAGCTAAACACCAAATAATCGTATCTTTTTGCCCACGTCTATTTGAATTTGAAGATAATTTTCCAACATTAATTTGTTGAATAGGACGTTTTTGTTTTGTTGAACATATATAGATTCGATTAATACTTCCAGCAACAAGAAAATCATCATCTGTTGTATGCCATGCTAATGAAACAATACGTGCAGCTTGTTTACATACAGATGTAGCTAAAGAAAATTGAGTAGCATCCTTCGAAATATAAAATATAGTTTAAGTATTTGAAAGAATTTCATAATATATATTTTTTACTTCATCAATTTGATAAATGTTGACATGTCCAGTTTCAGTTCCAACAGCAATTTGTCGAGTTGTTTCATGTTTAGTTATACTCCATATAGCTCCACCAGCTGCATGACATGATGTTAAAATTTCAAATGTTATTGGATCATAAGCTATTAATTGTCCATCAAGACCAGCTGTTATTAAATATTTTTCAAGCCATAGAACAAGTTCAGGTGAATGTGATGCATTACGTGGTTGAATTGTACGTTCAAGTGTAAATGAATCATGAGTATTCCATAATTCAATTGAATGATCAGAACGTAATACAGCTAATAAATGATTTGATGACGAACTTTGATGATGATGAGCTAAACTTAATATTGATGAAAGACGTGGTTTATATAAATGAGTACGATGAACTAGGAAATCACACATTCTATTATATTTTTTAATTTGTAGATCAATTAACTTGAAGTTCTGGTATTAAACGAAAAAAATTAAGTTTTTCTTGCTTTGTGTTTTGGAACATCGAATATGATTCGTTGATGGAGTGGATAGCAAATAACGATATTTTTATTTTCTTATTTAAAAAATTTAAATAAGAGCTATTAAGGATTAGATAATGTTTTTAATGTTCATAGAAATTGAAATTCATATTCAAATAGATGTCACTAGTTTTTATTCATGGTTTTGGAAATAATGATTGGAAGATTTATGATATCTAATGGAAGATGAAAACGAAAGATGGCGTGACATGATAAGCAGGTGTAGGATAAAGATCAACGAATGTGTTTAGAGTTCACTAATAAAAGCATCAACTTATATATTCCATAGGCAGGAGAACGGTTTAGTTCTAGAGTAGATTGAACATTCTTGATAAGATCCTCATATGAAAGTTAAAAATGAGAGAAAATGAGTTTTTGAATGTTACTTGGATGAAGTGTCATTATTGTCAATTTACGGAAAAAAATGCAAATTTGAAGAAAGATAGGAATGCTTATATGTTCATCGATATATGATGTTCGGAAGAAAAGATTCTGATCCATTTTATCGGGAAAAAGTTTGATGTGACGAAGCAGAAATGTTTCATAAGTATGTAGTTTTAACAGATTCTAGTTAATCTGACTCAGATTTTTTTCTTACAATCCTTCTTCGATTGTAACGAAGGGTACTCACTTCAAGCGATTGCTGGTGTATGATCCAATATTGACTTGTACCAAACGCAATATTTCCTCAAAAAACATTTTCTAAATCTATTTGTTTCAGAAAACGTTATTATTAGTCGCTAGAGGCAGTGAAAAATATTGGCGTCTGTGCAAAAATGCAATGCGCTGGTCAACTTGATCAGTTTGATGAAAGGCGAAAACTGTTGGAGTCGACTCAAGTCTTGTGACTCCTTAACCTGTACTTATTACACACGCATGGGTAATAGATAAAGATTACGGTGACCTTATAACATCACATCATCTGTCAGAAGAAAAAGAAAATTAAATAATAAGAGAAAATGTTTACATTAAATAGAGCCTATATAAGCCATTATCTGTCCTGACATTAAGTTACCCAGATCTTGTGGTTCTTCGGTCTATGTACGACGTTGGAATTCCACTGGCATAAAACGAAGATGTTTTCAAGATCAGGGATCATTTCATCGACCTTCTCCACTCGAAATATCTCTGATTACTCAAATAACCTCAAACTACACTTTAATTTATATGTTGATTTGATATAAATTGAATTACTGCTGACATTTTGTTCAAGAATTTGCAACATTGGATCATTGACGTCGACAAGAAATCATCGCTATGTGTATGGCTTAGACGACAATTTTATGTACTATGGGATTTCCAATAAAGCGAATATCTTGAAAACATCTTCAATCAGTCATATTCATCATTTGCATTATTTAATCTCATTGGTACTCAAAGGATGGCTAAAATTTAACTACACTCGTTATTCAAAGAGATGACGACATAATAAGATTGAATGAAACTGACATGACTTTTTCAGATGATATCCAACACATAACGGTCAAAAATATTTTCTTTGACAATTGAAAATTTTCTGTGGTTCATCATATTACAGATTTATTTTGTTTTGCTTTTTAAAAAGCATGTCAGACTGCAATACCTGCCCGAACTCATTTCTTTCTTTTTATGCTAACAAAACTGATATTAAGTTCCATATCTCCGAAAACTCTCAAAAAATTATCATCTATTTATAGAAGTTCCTTTTCATATGATTAAAAAAGTAGCTTAATTACTAAACTACAGACCCTGCAGTTTCAAATGTTCTTGCGAACAAAAAAGAACAGCAACTGGTTACAATGAAACTTCTTCGAGAATACTGGAGTGTGTGATCAAAAAAGTATAAACAGAGAAAAAATCCGACAACCTTTTTCACTTTTTCTACAAATAGTATATTTATGAAATAGATGATGACGAAAATCTTTACAAGAGAGGCACTCAATAAAAAATGATGTCGTTTATGACAGATCAAACCTCGGCCTATTATTTCAATTTCGATTTTTTTGCGGGGAAGGAGACGTACTTATAGATAAATAATACTATATAAATTTTATTTCAACACGTTAATGTTAGTTCCAACAGTTGTCATTGACAGCAACTGGACACTTTTTGTATTAGAAGATATGTCCATAATAGAAAGTCTCTTTGAATGAGCTATTCTTTAGACACTAACGAATATTCTTTGCTATTTATTTCATTAATTAGAAAATTGTAACTATAATCAATATACTGAATGAAAAATGATTCTCAATTTCTATGATTCTGAACTGAAAAGCTATACAGAATAAAGCTAATATGATTTGTGTATCTTTCTAAGGCCGAAAAATTCTTCGCATTTATCTGTAAAATGTTTTTTAATTATAAGTAATTGAAAAAGATAAATCAAATAGAAGGTCCCCTAAGACACAATAGAATACCCAAGGCCATCGATTATGTGAGAAGAATATACAATGAAAAGCTATAATTTTTTTGTTATCAATCATTTTTTACTCGTTTCGTGTTAATAAAGAAGAAATAAATACATATTAAATTGAATTTGATTTGATCGATCATTAAGTAATTTTATTTGTTGTTTTTTACGCTCAATACTATAATTGATTTGTTCTTGTTATGTTTTTTCTCACACGAAAACCAAGAACTAGAAAATAAAATGAATACTTTCATTATTAAATTGCTTTTGGTTTGACTTCTGTTGTACGATAAGTGTCTATACTAATCTAAATTATATCAATATAGCTAAGAACTGGAACTGAGATTGATTTGATAAATTATTAATCAAATCGTACTCATTTCTGGCTCGAAGTACAATGTGCTATTCTTCTTGTAGTATTAACTTGTAAATAATAGTTATAGTCCGACTTTGCAAAAACATGAATAATTTCGTAGAAAAATTTTTCATTCTTGATAATTTCATGCTTATGATTGAGTGTTGCACATGCAAATGTGTTTAACATTTCATTTATTATCTTGATCGTTAGTTTTTCATGCAAGTTTCACTGTTACAATCATCTCAAGAATTAAGATTTTCTTGATATCCCTCAGTACATAGTTTATTTTGTTGGATGAATCATGTAGAGAAAAAGAAAAGAGATATGTTAAGGTTTAAAATGATTTATTGTGTTATTTATTACAATAAATTTACATGCACACAAATACAGATTGCTATCGGTCAATGTGAATAGAGAAGGTAGCAAAAGGACGGATCTTCTGAACATCAAGAGAATGACGAAGGCGAATAGTGATATATGTATTCAACAGATAGATTTGTTGAAAAAAAAAATTCTTTTTTATCAGTTGGAGGTTTTTAATGTAAAGCAAGACAAAAAAAATAATAGAAGACCCAAAAGAAAAAAGATATTATCACAGAACTTGTTATTGTCCATCCGATCAGCTATTAGCTTTCAATGTATCAGCAGATGATGAAGGAGCTAATGAATTAGGAGGAAATTGACGTTGTAAAATCGTAAGTACAGAAGAAACATCTTCACTTAGTTTTGTTTCTAATGTTACTAATCGTCTACATAATAAAACATAATGATATAATGAATTACAGTTTGAAAAAAGACCAAAGATTATTTACTTAGTTAATTCTTGTAATCGATATTCAACACTGGATTGATACGGATCAAGTGATTGTAAATGATGTGTCTAAAAGAAATATTTATTTAAACAAACAAAAAATGACTTTTTTGTTGCTACTAACCGATGGCATTAATTCATCAGCACCTGCTATAAATGATGATCTACGAGGTCCAGCACTATATGAAGAGTGATGAGCTAAAATAAAATTTTATAATAAAACAGTTTACATAAAAACAAAAATATACCTTGAAAACCAGAAACACCACTAAAAGATTTTTCTCGACGATCACGACGTCGTGATGCTATTGTTCCAAATTCAAGATTAGCCGGAGTTATATCTTGACCAGCTAGTTGAGGATTAAATTCGAGTATACCTAAATGGAATATAATTCAAGATTAAGAAGAACGATACTAGAACGTAATAGTTTTCAAAATACATATTCTCCATCTGAAAGTGCTTATTTTTCTGCATAATACCAGCTGTTAAACTGAGTTTAGTATATCCAGAAGACATCATTGATTGTCCTAGGTGTTAAGCTGACATCTTATATCACCGATCATATTTCTTCTCATAAAAAAATAATTATTTGCACGTCATGTACTATTAAAACACGTGCAATTAAATTAATGATCAATTAGCTAAGGATGGATATCAAAAAAGCATTTAAAAACATAATATTTAATGATATACTTTAAGCAAGGATATGTTGTTTTGTTTATTATTTATTATTTTAAAATAGGTACACACACACATTCCATCGTATTCACGTGCTTTGTACAACGAAAAAAAAAGATATGACGAAAATATGTGCATTGCGTCGTTAGTTTTTAGTGTGAGATGAATACTAAGACTAGCAAGATGATAAGAAGTTGTTTGTTTTCTTTTATTGTTAGACAATAAATATGATGAATGGTTGTGTTTGCATGTAATAGAAAAGTACAAAGTTGCTGACTATAGAAAATATATGAGGCCATATCTTGAAAGAAGAAAGATTCAACAAATAAGTACTCGTTTTTTTCTTTACTCGTTGGCGTACACTACGCAGGTCATTCACGTCAGACGATCTAACCGGCTGACTAATGTAGGAATGTCGATCTTTTTTTTCCTTTCTAATCTACGGAGATATATAAACAGTAGTAGAGGGGCGTATATATGTTTGTTTCCTTCATCACAAGTGATGAGATATCAACTCGCATATCTGATGTGCATTGTTCTCGGGCTATATTCTTAGATGCATGATCAGGAATGGGAAAGAGCATAATGTTTCTATTCTTCATGATTTTTTCCAGATTTGCTTATTTCTAAATACTATTTGGAACATATTGACAAAAGCTATGTCAGACAATCAACAAGTGCAATCTACACCTGTTTCTGATGTTCAAGTTGACAACAAAGACAGTCATACACAACGTAAGTAATTAACTATGAACGTGTGTTGTGATACATCTATAAATGATTATTGTTATTCTTTTAATCAGAACATGATGTCAGTCAACAATTGCAACAGAATGCTGAACAACAAGGAACTGACACAAAACAGGATACAGAACAAAAAGGTAGTTGATTATTACTACTGTGATCTTCGTTTTATATTGTACTTTGTGTATCAGGTACTGAATTGAAAGAAACAGTGAATGAAACTGCTGATACAACTCATGAAAAATCTAATGAAGTTAAAGATGCTGAACAAGCAGCAAATGATGATGTAAAACAAGTCGCTAACGATACTCAAGTAGCTGGTACGTTGTTTAAATAATCAATTAACTAGATTTATTGGTTCTTTTAACGATCAAAATTAATTATTCCTTCAAAAAGGTTATCAACTTTCATTAGGAAGTATTTTCTATGAGGAAAAAAAATGTAATTTATAAATTGCCCTAGGGAAAGTTTTTCTTTGATCAAACAGTTCTCGGAGGACGAATATTTATTTTCAATGTGCATAAATATGTGAAACAACATTGTATTACTCAGATTTTTGCTACAAGAAAAACATAATCTTACTATTTTCTTTAGCTGCTCAATCAACTGATGAAGCCAAAGATGCTGTAGAGACAAAGGTCGAACAAAGAACAGAAGCTAATACGCAATCAACTGATGATGCTTCAAAGAAACCCGATGAAGTGAAAGATGTTTCACAAGAAACTGGAACTCAATTAAGTGGCGATGCTTCGAACAAAACTGAAGAATTTAAAGATACAACAGAAAAGAAAGTTGATGAAGTAAAAGAAACTCCTCAAGAAAAAGTCGATCAAGAGAAACAAACTGATACTCCATCAGTTGATAATGCATCTAAAGAAAGCGATGAAGCGAAAACTACTATTGTTGAATCAGCTATTCATGTTAAAGATGCAGTAGTTGAAAAAGTACAAGAACTTGGACATGCTGTATTTGAAAAAAAATCTATTCGTATCGTCTGTTTGAACTTAGATAAACTTTTTAGGTCGTCGAAACGGCACAAGCCATTCCAGCTACAGTTGCTGATGCTGCAAGTTCAGTTGGTGAAAAAGTCGTTAGTGCTGTACAATCAGTTAGTTTCTTTATGAGGAAAAAAAACATATTTTATATTGTTTTTTTGTATTTCATAGACTGTAGAAAAAGTTGCTGAAGTCGGTGCAGCTGTTGTTCATTCAGCACAAGAAGCTATTCATAGGTAATTTTCAGTTGACAAATGTTTTCTATTTAATTCTATGTATTCATTTAGTGTTACTGGAGTAGCAAATGATGCCAAAGAGACAGGTAAGTTTCGTTCGATTAAAAAAGATTTATAAAATGTTTTTTTTCCTATAGCAAGTGAAGCACTTGATCAAGCTCAAGACAAAGGTAAAACAAAAATCTAATTATTTTGAAACTATAAAAAATTATTGTGTATTAAATAGCTACCGAATTGAAAGAGCAAACATCTGAGAAAGTTGATACATTAGCATCTGAAACAAAAGAGAAAGCCGAAGGTAAATATCTTGAATCTTCTCAAAAATGATCTGTCTTATTTATAATTTCATTTGATTAGAAGTTAAACAAGATGTACAAGAGACAGGTAAGATTTTGATTTAGATTTTTTTAAAGTTTTTCATTTTGAAATTTCAGCCGGTGAATTAAAAGAAGCAGCATCTGAAAAAGTCGACGAAGCAAAAGAGAAGGCTAGTGAAGTAACTTCAGAAGTACAACAAGCAGCCGCAGGTAAATATATTCGAATTCAAAATGAAATTTTAATTTATTTTTGTTTTCATTCAATTAGAAGTCAAGCAAGATGCTCAAGAAGCAGGTAAAATTTTAATTTAGATTTTCAAAGTTTTCTTATTTTTCTAATATTTAGCCGGTGCATTAAAAGAGACAGCCTCTGAGAAAGTTGAGGACGTAAAAGAGAAGGCTGGTGAATTAACATCTGAGGTAAAACAAACGAGCGAAGGTAAAGTTCGTAGATTTTTACAAGATGATTTGTCTAAGTTATGTTTTTATTTGAATAGAAGTTAAACAAGAAGTTCAAGAAACAGGTAGAATTTTCATTTAGTCTTTACAAATGTTTCTATTTTGAATATTTAGCTGGCGAATTGAAAGAAGCAGCAACTAACAAAGTCGAAGAAGCAAAGGATAAAGCTGAAGAATTAGCTGCTAATATTAAAGAAAAAGGTCAAGGTAGAGTATTACCATTTTAAAAAGACTTGTCCTAATTTTTTAATTTCATATTATTAGAAGTCGAACATCAGGGTGAACAAAAAGGTTTGATTAATCTTTGTTTGAAAAAAAAAAGTTTCAAAATAACATTGTAACTTTTATAGTTGAAGAAGCAAAAGAAACAGTAGTTGAAAAAGTCGATGAAGCAAAAGATAAAGCTGAAGAAGTCACTGCTGATATTAAAGAGAAAGGCGAAGGTAAAGTTATTCTTTATGTAAAAAATGACTCAAATGTATTTTTTGTTTCTTCAAAAATAGAAGTCAAAAATGACCTTCAACAAAAAGGTATATTTATTTAAAATGAAACTTTCTTTAAAGAACCTTTTCTTTTTGTTTTTCTTTTAGTTGCTGATGTTCCAACATCAACCAATGAAAGCACACCTACCAACAATACTGAATGAAAATAAAAACAACAAAACTCTATCATATCTTTGCTTGTTTACATGCTTTTTTTAATTTTAACTCGTTGTATACATTATCCTTTCTTGCTGTGCGTGTGTGGGTTTATTTATTTAACCTATAGTGTTGCTTCAAAATGTTACAAAAACACTAGCGTGTACACTATACGGAATAAATAAAAATACTACCGAGTATATATATTGAATTTATCATGAGTCTTCATAAAAAGATTATTTTCGGTCAAATAAGACATATGCGACTCAATAAAAAATAGATATTCACCATTAGTTCGGAATTCTATCACGTATTTGAATTAGAAATTATCTATGATTGCTAATCCGACAGACTATTCATGTCATAGTTTCATGTTTGTTTGTTTGTTTGTCTATCTTATTTATAGTAATAAGATTTATTTTACCTGTCCCACTAGGATATTCGTCAAAATAAGATTGATGTGGAGCCATTATCGATATATTATCATCGTCTGTTTTCGTAAAACATGCACCTGACATATATAGAAAATACATATTATAATAAATTCTGTTGTTGTTATAACAATCAATACTGACTTCCTCGATAATTGTTTGGATTTGGTAAATATTTTGATCGACATTCATTTGATTTTGAAACGAGATCTTCCTTTAAAAGAAAAAGACGTAATTTCTATATATACTTTTTTTTGTTATTGATAAGATAAACCTACATCACGTAATGTCAGAGTAATTTTTAAATTGTGACAAAAACTTTGTGCGAACTCAGGATACATATCGATAACTTCAAGTAAGTCATCGCGTAATATTTTATGTAAATCACAATATGTTAATGCACGAACATTATAGGCAGATTTTCCTGGTTCGTTATATAATACAGGATTTTCTCCAAGAATATCATCTTTACCTAAACAAAAAATAGTCTTAAGAAAAAAAAACGAAAATATTATTTCTATGAACATACTAAGAATAGCAACGACATTGTCGTCTTTTAATATTTCAATTGAACCACGTGAAATAAAATACAATGATGTTAAAATGTCACCACGATGTGTTATTATATCACCAGGTGGTGCATGAGTTGTTTTTAGCTTCATTGAAAATGTACGCAAGCAACCTTCACTAGCATCTAAAAGTAATAAAATTATTATTGAAAAAAAAATCAAATTTATATCAAACCTTTAAATGCAGGACAATTTTTAAGTAGTACACTATTCAAATGTAAACATATATCAGCTTGTAAACATTCCGGAAAACCTTTCAGCACCATATTCATGTCAATACCACTATATTTATAAAAATAAATAGCTATAACAAGATTCGAAAAAAGAAACTACGTAATTTACTTTGTATAATTCCATGCATGATTAAAATAATCTTCAAGTCGTTGTCGAAGTGGATTTGGTATTTGATGAAAACGAATAAATTCTTTTACTCTATTGATATAATGATACAT